AGCAGCAAGCACAGTGCCTGGTTCCTGTCCAAGTGTGGAGGCGCTGACCAGCTGCGCTCGCTGCGTGCTCTGTCTGTAGCGTCCACTGCCACCCCATGCCCTCCTATACGGTCACCGTGGCCACTGGCAGCCAGTGGTTTGCTGGCACCGACGACTACATCTACCTCAGCCTGGTGGGCTCCACGGGCTGCAGCGAGAAGCACCTGCTGGACAAGCCCTTCTACAATGACTTCGAGCGTGGCGCGGTAAGGCGGGAAGCTGGGATGCGTGGCTTGGAGGGGGGACAGGTGAGCCGAGGGAGGCCCAGAACCACATTGAGGCGGGGACACGGGTTCGGACGTCCACAGATAGGGACCTTCCCGACACTGTGGTGCTGCGGACCACGTTTCCTGTGTCTCACACAGCTCCTTCTACGTGCGAGTTGCACTTAGAGGAAAGGAGTAGGTTACTCTCGGGGAGCAAGTAAGGGGTTTGCCCTGCTTACGAAGCACGGCTGGAATTGTCCTGTGAGCTGTGTGTGGGGTGTGCAGAGCCAGGGGTCTGGGGCCAAGAGGCTTGACTTCTAACTGGGCTTGACCGCTAAGTGTCTCTGTCACTTCTTTGCATCTGTCTTCCCCAGTTGTGCATGAAGCTCATAGCGACCCTACAGAACATAGTAAACCTGCCCTTTGTGGGTTTCTGAGACCGTAAATCTTTATGAGAGGAGAAAGCCTCGTCTTTCTCCAGTGGAGCAGCTGGTTGTTTGGAACTGTTGAACTTGAGGTTAGCAGCCCAAGGTGTAATCCACTGGCCCCAGTCTATTCCTTGGCAGCAAGTTTGGTTCTTTTGTACATTAAAGGATTGTGGGGGTTTTGCTGCTCCAGGAGTTCTGGTGAGGCCCCGCCCAGCTGGTGGTCCTATTGAACATTCTCTTAGACTCAGGACAAAAAACCCCATGGGTTTTTAGAAGGAGCAAGGGAACCCAGACAAGTGTAGGCCTTTTGGAAACTTGGGGGTTCTTTCTTGCCCCCTAGCAAAAGATATACCTGGAAATCCTTCTATCACAGGTGTGAGGACCTAGTGTAAGAAGAGAGGAAAGAGAGCATCCATCCCCAGTCACCTTACTGGAGACCTAGAAGAGTTTGGAAACTTGGTGAAAGGAAGGGTGTCAAGTTTTATTGAACATTTATTTGTGGGGCCAGGGCTCTGTGAGCTCATAGCCTCGTTTAAGGAGTGGCTCCTGACTCTGACTTGCATTTGAACTCTAGTCTGGGGGCTTTGTCTGCGTAGGAGAACCTTTGTTTTTTGTATAGCACATGGAAAGAAAACAGTATCTGGCCGACCCAGACTAATGGTGACCCTGTTTGCAGAGCAGAAGGGTGCTGTGCAGGGTTTCAGTGGCTGGTTTTTCAGAAGCAGATCACCAGGTCCTTCTTCAATGTGACGCAAACAGCTCATCTTCCAGTTCGCAGCCAGCATTCGCACCAACACTGCCCAACTCTTGAACGAAAGAAAATACTTCTGACTTTATGACTTTACCAAGCTCTCACCACTTCGCACTGTTAGGGTGAACTATGTGAAATGGCTCGCCTTTGACTATTTTTACAATTAGAAATGTGCAGTTTCATATAATTCGACCAAATACATCTTGTGTAAAATTCCTAAAGTTTGTATGAGGTCTGCCAATGCTAAGTTAATAAGAGTCCACCCCTTTTCTGTATCCCAAACTCAAAACCATCAGAACCGTGCTATATTGAGACATTTGATATTGAGCCAAGTTCTCTGGTATCAACCTCTCTTGAGCTGTGTTCAAGACTTGTAGGGTGAGTGTAAAAACTGGCACCTCGCAGATAGGTTTTCTCAGTCAATGGGACTAATGCAGGAAGATTAATAAGGAATTGGCTTGGAATTATGACTCCCTCAGACATTTTCAAAAGCACCTTCATTTTTTTCTCGTCATTTCATGGGCTCTCCCCCCATCACATTTGGGAGGAGAGGGTACAGACTCCTTCCTTATTATAGGTGGACTGAAGTGAGCCTGGTTCTCACATGACAGACTCTGGACCACAGAAGCCACAGGTGTGCCACCCTGATTAGCATCAGCTGAGCCCCGGATACAGCAGTCTCTTTGTGGAGGAGACACGGATGACTCTAGAAGGGTCTCTGCTGCTTGATGATTTCCCTGTCTGTGTCCGTTTTCTCCACCCTGATAATTCATTCAAATGATACTGCTGATTACGCACTTCAGTGAGGGTTCCAGAAACAAATTTTAGGAGATATTTGCATATACTCTTTCTTTTCCAGTAAAAGACCTATAAGTCTGGAGGGCTGGGGCAGGGCAAAAGAATCAATTGGCTCTTTGAAAAAGTTAGCTTTTGAGAAAGTTCCTGTTGATGCAAAATTACCTCACATTTGTTATTGCATTGTCCAGAGCTACTTCCTCATTCTCCAGCCAGTGTCCTTAGAAGGGCTATTCCTCTGGGTAAAGGTGAAAGCTAAACTTTAGAAGAAATGTTTGCTAAGAAGAAAGGCCATCCTATTTTACTCAGAAGTATGGAACAATTGTTATTGTTAATGCCAGTAATTATAACAAATCAATCCAACCACTGTCATGGATTGGCATGTCAACATACCTTCCACCCCACCACAATGCACAATTCAGTCACATAATGGCCATGGCTGACTTTTACTCAATAAATTGATTAAAGAATCCCCAACCATTCTCATCAGAGTTCCAGACAAGATGGAAGTTGGAGTCCTTATAAGTGAGACTCTCATGAAAACAGTCAGACTTTCATAAGCTCCCCTAGGTATTGGGGGAAGCCCAGACTAGTGGGCCAGTGGTCATATTCCTGAATGTTACCCCAAGTTAGGCAAATCTAACAGTCGATGTGTTCCTTTATCTCTGTAAATTTGAAGTAACAGATTTCTGGGAAATTTTACTTGTCCCATACTCATTTCATGATAGCACTATTAAGAATGCTAAAGGCAAGAGGGAGCTGTTTATGTAATATATTATCCTTGAATGTGTTCAGTAAACACTAAGTCACAACTATATATACTTTCTAAATTATAATATTTATGAATATATTCATAAGTGAATACATTGATTAATGAATATATTCATTATAACTACTTTGGAGACTATCTCCTCAGGAATAAGAATATATTAATGAAGAATAAATATTTCATTCTCATGACCCTTAATTCTGTTCCCCACTTTTGCTCTCTGCCTCATTCCTTTCTCACCTTCTACCCTTTCTTTCTCCTTCCTTTTTACCTTTATCACTCTGCCTCAGAGTCCCAATATATCTCATTTATACTCTTACACCTACCTCTCCCTTCTTTTCTGCTGTGTTTTCCTTCTATTCTATCTTCTCATCTCTCCCTCTTCTCCTTTCCTCAATCCCCAATTCTCAGAAATGTGAATTCTGGTTCACATTTCCCTCTTCTGTTTGCACCCTACTACCTTGCTACCGCTATCTCTACCCCTTCAGCCCCTTTATCTCCTCGGATCTGCCATTCAGTATCCCATTCTCTGTATACCAGTGTCTCCTTTCTGTTCCCTCATCACCCCCACCTTTCTGCTCAGACTTGACTTTTTTCTCCTTTTCCCCACAGTCCCTCACTACCCTCTCTGCTTTATGATCACTCCGACCGATCCCCTTCTCCTTGACCCAGCAGCAGCAAGGATTTGGGGCAGAAAGATGGAAGCTTTCTTAAAATTTTGATATAAAGATTTTATGAACATTTATCACAAGATATTTTTTGAAATATTCAAAAGCTTAAAAGTGACATATTCAATAAGAAGTTGAAAACAACAAATAAATTAGCATAGCAACCCTTCAGTGAATGAGCCTGTTTCCTTCACTCCATGTCTCTCTTCAGTAGAAAGACCACTGCATCTACCAGCACCACTCCAAGAAACTCCTTTCTCAACTTCCTTCCTCCAAGGCAAGTGTCTGACCTCAGTGATTTTATCTTCTTAGCTTACAACATCTAAAATGCACAAGCCTGTACAAAGACAATGCTACCAATTCCCAATAGTGCTCAAATGTCACTGTTTCATGAATCTTGTTCATGTCCCTTTCCCTAATTCCATGATGCCCCTTCCTACTTCAGTTTTCTGGCCCAGTTGAGCATTTTCCCCACATCATTGGTAGTCTGATAGCCACCCTTGATTATTAGTCCTGTCGTTATTTTACTTCACTGAGCCTCAGATGACCCTGAACAATGGGGTTATAATCCACTCAATAATTTGTTGAGGGCCTGTTATGGGCCATTCACTGCTTCTAGTGTCCCCATTGTGAATGGTCATGAAAGTTCAACAAGTCATAATGAACAGAAAGCTAAGAGCAGGACAGCCAACCAACCCATGAAGAAGAGGGAGGTTATCATACCTTGCAGCTCCATGAACCTGCTTAATACTCTATTGTGCTATGTGAACCTGTTGTCTGCATTAAGGCTTTCCTCTGTCCCCTCTGACTCTTCTCAGAGTTGGATTCTTTAGCTATAGCCATGAGAGTGTTTTGAAGACATTCTAAATGCAGGACAGGATGAACTCTGCAGTTTCTCATTCGGTGGTTGCCACTACAGGCCTGGATCCAACAAAGACCCTGGGCTTACTCAGACAAGGCCAGACTGGTCTGGCCATGGAAGACCTTGATAGCTGGTATGTTGTGTGTCTGTACATTCAGTTCACCCCAGGTGAGCCTCTATGACCTCTGTTAGTTTCTGCATCTGTGTGAGTAAGCAAAAGCAAAGCCAACTAGAGAGCCCATTTTTCGATTAACTTGACCACAGGTGTGCCAAAAGTTGTTCCTGCTGTCCTCTTCCTTATAGAAACTTCTCCAGTCTCCAGAGGGGTCACCACCCTCAGCTGGGCATGTGGGTTCCCCCTTGAGAATTGTCCCAGCCCTGTAGAGCTTCCTTTAGCACCATCCCCTTCATTTTTATTCCAGGTGCTTCTCCGTACCCCAGTAATGTCCACCTCAGCTTCTCATGACAATTGAGACTTTAGAATAGTCAACCTCTCCTCCTTGGCACAAACTTTCCTGGCATCAAGACCCCTCTTCATCACACCTACTTCCAGAGCAGTCACCAAGCCAGCCTAGAGACTCCGGGCTCTAGCTTCTTCTTGTTCCAGGTGTGCACTTGACAACTAAAGTGGTTCGACTCTACCTGTGTTGAGCCAGCATTAAGTGTGGTCCTCCTGCTCCTGTCTGTTTAGTCTGTGCATGGAGTTGTGAATAAACTGTGAACATCCAGCCAGACTGCTTCCCTGGTACTAGTGCTAAATAGGGGATGTAGGTAGGAATTCCAGTAAATGGGAGAAAAAAGAAAAGCAAAACCCCACTGCCATCAAGTTGACTCTGACTCATTAGTAAGCCTATAGGAACAGGATAGAACTGCCCCTGTGGGTTTACAAGACTGGAACTGTTTACAGGAGTAGAAAGTCAGATCTTTCTCCCATGTAGTGGATGATGGTTTTGAACTGCTGACCTTGTGGTTAGCAGCCCAACTTGTAACCTACTACAACACTGCAGTCAGTCAGTAAATTGGACCTTGGAGAAAGGAGCCTGGTGAAGTTCTAGCATTCATGAGACCCGCCCTTCACTTAGAGAAAGGAACATGGTGATGTTCTTTCATTCATGAGACCCAGTACGTCACTCAAATTTCTCAATGGTCCTGCAGGTCAAGTGCGATCTCCTCTGGGTAAAGAAAGTAGGAGAGCCTGTGACCCAAACAGGTTGCTGATGCCACACAGTCAGTCTCTCCTGAGCTGAAATATTTATTCAGATTTGTTACCTGCCTGGCTGAGCTCTCCTCCTCCTTTCTCTGCCCCACTTTAGTGAGATTACTATCTTGGCATAATAGAGAACTGAGGCTTTTACAGCTTAATTGTCAGGACCCAGAAAATCCTACACTACCATGTTTGTCCCCACTCTGTCCTAGGTAGGTCTGAACCCTAGGACAAGGACTGCTGGGTTGCTTGTTCCATTAGAACCTGCCTACTCTGTCCTTGGCCCCAGTGACACCTTGACCAGGAGGTTTCCCATCTCCTACTACTCAGAAGAGATCAGTCCTACCATTTTTCCTTCCTTACAATTTCTATGGTTATTGGCCTCCTTCTCTGGTTCATGGTGGGGGGGGTGTCCTCTCTTCAGCAGCCTTTCTTTTCTAAGCTCTGCATCACAACTCAAGACTGCTAGCATCTTGGGGTTTCCCTAGGCTCCCTCTGTGGCACATTCATTGGCCCAGGACCCAGGACCCAGGGCTTATGGCTATCCATAAGGCCTCCTGGCAGCCCCTGCTCATCCTGCTGGGCACAGTAGAGTTGAGGAAGAGAGACAGAGCTTGGGATGAGTACGGTATGTTAAGTGAACAGATATTTGTTTGCATGTGGTCAGCACCAGACTGCTATCATCCCAGCTCCACAGCCTGGCTCACTCTTCTTGAAAACTGCTCTGAGCTAAGGCCCTGACTGGCACCACACAGCTCAAGAGTGAAGCTTCCACATTCTGACCACAAGTGTCTAGCACTGGAAGCCACAACATGCAAGGTGCTCATTATGTTTGGAGTTGAGGATTGACTGAAAATATCCAACTTCCCGTTCTTCTCAGGAAGCCCTGCCAAAGGGCTCTAGCTAACCAGAGGGGGAAGGGTGGAAGTAGGAAAAGGATTTGAGGGACCATATGCAGGAAAGATATCCCTGGTCTGTCCCATTTATATCATGCAGAACCCTGGGTTCTGCTACAACAATAACAAAAAAAAATGTTTCCGGTATTGGTGAAATATTGCTTAGAAATGGCCCTGGAGGCCAGGCCTTTGCACACCTGCCTATCATTGAATTTCCCAATGCGATGCTTGAGCCTCTTATCTTTCTTTCACCTCTGCTGTGGAAAGCTACAAAAACACAGGTGATCTAGAAACCATGCAGGGATTGTCCAGAGATGCCACACTACTCATATCTTGAGGACAGAAGCAGCTCAGTTCTAGAGGTCTGAGAGACAGGGCTGCCTGGCTGCCTATCCTCTACCCACTGCCAGAGCCACAAAATGTAGTGGGAACTGTAGAGTCTGCTTCTTCATGACATTACTGTGATGGTTTAGGAAACTGCAAACTCTACCAAACCCAAGCCAATCTCTTTACCACTGAGTTGATTCTAACTCATTAGAACTGTAGTTTTATGGGAGAAGACATCTTTACCTTTCTCTCATGGAGCTGCTGATGGGTTTGGATCGCTTACCTTGTGGTCAGTAGTCTAAAGCCTACCAAAAAGTGTACCAGGGCTCCTTGCAAATGCTACCCAAACCAAACCAAACTCACTGCCATTAAGTCAATTCTGACTCATAGCTACCTTATAGGGCAGGGTAGAACTGCCCCTCTGAGTTTCTGAGTCTCTTGATAGGAGTAGAATGCCTCATCTTTCTTCCAAGGAGTAGATGATCGTTTTGAACTACTGACCTCAGGGCTCCTGCAAATGCTACAGAAGAGCTTAAATTCAAAGAACTTGAATCTGTGTTACTTCATTTGTATCTGAACCTTTCCATTTCCACTTAGCTACCACCCTACTGAACACTAGAGAGTTTACATAGCTATAGTTGATAAGCCTAGGTGTGGGTTCCAGCTCACTCAGCAGCTGGAGAGTGACTTTCTGAGACTTGGTATCTTCATCTGTAAAGTATATCATAAGTGTACCCCACACACAAAGTTGTGGTGGGTATCTATAGTAATTGTCAGTATGACTTTTGCGAGTGGTAAAGGGAGATGCAGGAATAAGAACAAGTTTGTCCCTGCAGCCTACCAAGGTAATAAAGCCAGTAGCCTCTGTTGCCCTCATTTTGAGGGCGGGCAACTGAATAGGACCTTCACCAAACAGAGCCTAGAGGTTGCAACAGGGATATTCACTCCTCCAGCACAAGTCATGCACAGATAGGAGAGAGTCCCTCACTAGATCTTTTCCGCTAGAGGTAGGGACCAACAGGTGCCCATCTCTGAAGCCCAGGACCTGGACCAAGCCTTGTCATAGCAAGAATCCAGTGAATGTCTTTACTAAATGGACAAGGGGTGTTAGGAGGGCTCAGGGGACACTGTACCACCCCAATTGTCTCTTCTCTTCTGCAGATAGATTCTTATGATGTGACAGTGGATGAAGAGCTGGGTGAGATCCAGCTGGTCAAAATTGAGAAGCGCAAATACTGGCTCCATGATGACTGGTACCTGAAGTACATCACACTGAAGACGCCCTATGGCGACTACATTGAGTTCCCCTGCTACCGCTGGATCACAGGCGAGGGTGAAATCATCCTTCGAGATGGCCGAGGTGAGCACCTTTGGGCCCTTTTTCCTGTGTATCCTTGAAACTGCCTGGATTTGATGGCCCTCTTTCAGAAAGAACTATTATTCATGGAAACAAAGTGCCCCATGGCTGTGATTCGATCATTTGCAGAGGAGGTGTGGCCTTCTTCTGCTTATTGCTAGGCCTCCATCTCAGATGTTGAGTAAGCGACCTCCCATTGCATAGCCAACCATGTCCCCTTCTATGCTACAATCCTATAGGATATTTGCTACTGGTGACTTTAGATCATAGCTGGATCCTCAGTAGCAAATATCCATGGGATATACATATAGAGCCATCCTGCAGTTTGTAAAGGTGTGCCTCACTGTCGCTGGAGCTGCCTTTTCCAGATTCACAGGTTTCCAGGTCCAGACTGCCCCCTGTGAGGTCATAGTAGGGTTAGGATTCCGGGGCGCCTACCTCAGACTTAGGAAATGAAGAGGTTGGTCAGGAGTGCCTGAGTGCCATCTCAGAGGGGACACAACGCAGAACAATTTCCCATTAATCACTGAAAGAAGTATGTCTGCCTTTTAACAATGACCTCCAAATGTGCAGACCCCAAGTGAGCATGCAGTCAGGAGGACATCCTTCCTAAAGAATCCCACAGATTCCCTGATAAGAAGTACCAGAGAGAGATGCAGCTGCCAGAGGTCAGCTGAGACTCCTCTTTCGCTGAATCACTCTCTTTTGTGTGACGGTCTCCTTCTCAGAGGAGTGAATAAGTCCTGGCCTCAGCAAAACGAGGCCATGCTTTCCATCACAGCTCTTCCGTGTTCTCTCAGCCGACATCTGGAATGACAGAGCTTCAAACACCAAGCATCCACTGGAATTATAAGAAGGAAGATCGCTACTTCTACCATTATTCACATATAACCTTTCCTGTTTGCCCAAACATTCTCTCTCAGTAACTCATTTGTTCTTCACAAGGGTTTGGTGAGGTGGTAACTGAGAAAAAAAAAAGTGTGGTTTTATAGCTAAGAAAATGGGGCAAATGAAAAATTCTTCTCTACCTGGTGTTCTTAAATTATCAGCTAATAAGACTCAAGTGTATACCCTTTCTTTCCGTAGACTTTTTAAAAAATAAATGTATTGGCATATTTTGTGCATATAATACAATTTAATCATTCAATCTTATTAAGAAGAGTTGTAGAGTCATCACCAAAATCCATTTGAGGACATTTTCTTTTTGAACTCGTTGTTGTTAGCCCCATGTTTCTCCCCAACCTCCCCTGACATGCCCATAGGTAATTGTTCATCCAGCTACTGTCTCTATAGATTTACTTATCCTGCATTTCATATACTGAAAACCATACAAAGTGCAACCAGGAAGCAAACACCCATACACAAACAAAAACAGGTGCAAAACAAAACAGAGGGGAGCCCTCAATCAAAAAGTATGCAGAAAATATTAAAACAGAAATAATTTTAAAATGGGTCAAAAATGAGGGTAAATGATAAGGTGTTTCATTTTAGCCTAGCTACATGTGCCATAAGAGACTTTAGACTCTTGTAGCTAGCTCTTCATAGTAATGAAGCATGCATGCACTAACTAGACGCAGATGGCACAATCTAATGAGAATCCTTGAAGAATGATATGAGAAAGAGACTACTTTGAAAGGTGCAGGCCACCATGTAGAGCATACACAGGCTGTTAGCATGGCTAATCCTGATGAGATGTGGGGGAGACCCAGAGGAATGGGAATACCAGAATCAGAGAGACCTCTGGAGACCAAGCTTCTGGGACAGGACTGTTGTCTTCAGGGCAATGCACATCATCTAAGGAACATTGGTAGAAGAGCTAACCTCACTTTCCCTGCGCCCTTGAAGCTCTGGTCAAGGTACCGATTAGATAAACCTAATGAGAAACCCATTGATGCAATCCATTTCAGTTGCCATTGGGGGAAGACAGGGTACAGAGGGTGGCTTTGGGGGGATAAATAGAAGTTCTCCATGTTGTTCCATGTATCTATTGCTGTGTAACTCTTGTAGTGACTTTAAACAACTATTTATTTTACCAACCGTGACTTTGTAGGTTAGGAATGTGGTAAAGGCTCATAAAGGCAGACCATCTATGATTTATGTGGCATCAGCTGAGTCAGCAGGGCTTCTGGATTCACTTCTAAGACCTCTTCTCTCACAAATTGAGCACTTTTTCCCATGTTCTTTGCCTTTTTCTTTCCCCATGACATCTCATTCTTGAAGGTTTCTTCTCCACATGTCATGAGCTGCTGCACAGAGTGTACTGCAGGGTACTTTCACTGTTCAGATGGTGGCTGGCTTCTGATCTCATAAGACCTTGGCCTGGTACAGGCACAGTACAGCTTCTCTAGAGTCTGTTGAAAGGCTGAGGAGCCCCAAGAATGGACTTCAGGCAAGGAGGGGCAGCCCCGTGATCTCCCTCAGGACCAGTGGGGAGGGTCTCAGGGGGACCAGCAAACAGACCTGGACCTATGTAGGGTTTTTTTCTTTTATTCTCTTCTCCCATCTTTTTCTCTTCCCTTTTCTTTCTTCAACCATATATTTTCTTATTGTTCGGACTAGGACATGATGGCTTACCTGATTATATGGGTTGGACCATAGGAGGGAAGCCCAGGGAGAAGGCAATGGGGTCAATGGCTCCGGAAGGTAGAGGGGGAAGAAGGAGATGGGGGAGAAGGGTGTGGTGCATGAACGGCATCATGGACAGGGGAACAACTAGGGAAGTGGAACCAGCATCTAAGAGAGAGTAGAGATCCTGTGAGTATTAGAGCAACACCAAGCTAGTGGAGAGGAAGCACTAAGAGGTGGAAGAAGGGGGGAAGTGATGGCGGGGCAGGAGGAGGCAAAAGGAAACAGAGGCAAGCTCTAGGAAACAAAGGCACAGATAGGGAGATTAACAGAGGTGTGCACTTAAGCAAATACGTTAATCCATAACAACAGTGGTACTGGCCCATGTACTTATATTTATAAGGCAATACACTGAAGCTGCAGATGGGCCTTGGGCCTCGGCTCATACCTTCCCTCAATACAAGAACACTTTGTTCTAACAAAGTGGCATTCTGTGATGCTCACCCCCACCCCCACCTACATGATTGCTGAAGACAAACTGGGTGCATAAGCAGATGTGGTGAAGATAGAGGATGGTACCCCGCTACTAAAAGATACAGTGTCTGGGGTCTTAAAGGTTTGAAGTTAAACAAGTGGCCATCCAACAGTGAAGCAACAAGCCCACATGGAAGAAGCACACCAGCTGGTGCAATCGTGAATTGTCACTGAGACTGGGCAACAGGCATCAGAAGATTTACAACAGTAAACAAACAAACAAAAGAGCATTGGTGAGAATGGAGGGGAGTTGAAGTGGATACCCAAAGCCCATCTATGGACAATGGAACATCCCCCCACAGAGGGGTCGCAGGGAGGGGGTGAGTCAATCAGGGTGCAGTAGAGCACCAATGGATCACGCTATACCTCTGTTCCCTGGAGATCTCCTCACCACCCCGCTATCATGACCTCAGTGCTGCCTCCCAATCTAGATGGGAGCATATACATAGGTATAGGCAAGAGATAAAACTCACAACACATGGAACCCAGGAACAGGAATGGGACTAGAGATGCCAAAAGGGTAGGGGGGGAGAGGTGGGGAGGGAGAGGGTCACCGGTTGCAATGAATGGCACATAACCACACACCCCCAGCCAGGGGGAAGAACAGCAGAAAGCAGAGGAGAAGGGAGACAGTGGTCGGAGTGAGATTTGAAAATAATTAACGATCTACAATCTATCAGGAGCCACAAGGATTGGGGGCAGGGAGGAGGGAGGAGGAAAAAGAGGAGCAGATCCCAAGGGCGCAATGGAAAGTAAATATCTAGAAAAGAACAATGGAATATATGTACAAATATGTCAGATACAATTGATGTATGGTTTGTAACAAGAGTTGTAAGAGCCCCCAATAAAGTGATTGGGAAAAAAATAGAAAGTAAATGTTTAGAAAATAATGATGGCAAAATATGTATAAATATGCTTGATACAATTGATGTATGAATTGTTATAAGAGCTGTAAGAGTTCCCAATAAAATAATTTTTTAATTAAAAAGTTTGAACCTGTTAAAAAAAAACAACAAGAACAGTAACAGAGCCTACCCAGGTTCAGGGGAGAGGACACAGATCCCACCTTTGACAGAAGGTCGTAAATATGTGGTCATCTTCAGTCCACCAAATGGTCCAATAACTAGTACTTTGGAAAACTTGGAAATGAGAGGACCCAGCTCATAGGTGATTTGATTGCTAAATTAAGATAAAGTTTTAAATCTCAAATTCACTCTACATTACATAAAAGTCAGAAGCACGTTCTGTGGTCCCTGGCATCCAGAGCATCTGTGTGATGACAGCTTTGGGTGCAGCTTCATGAAGACACTCTGTATCATTCTGTTTTCAATCATTTGGCATCTTCTTTCGGTTCTACTCAATTCAAGTGTTGTTATCCTGCCATGTTCCTGGAAGTTACATCAGTCAGTCACGAGGAGTGTCCCAGCACTCTTAGAGCCAAGAGGAAAGGAATATAGCCATTCACCTACTGAAGCATGACCGCTGTGATCTATGTATTCGGATTTATACTAGGGAGGATAGAGAAGTAGAAGTCTTCAGAGCCAAGGTGTTTGGAAAAAAATCCAGTTCCTTGAGGTAGACAAGACATGATGGATGGAAAGTGACTAAAGCAGGGCCCCTACAGACAATAACAGCTGTCAGCACCATGGTGGATACTCCTTTGGGTTTCATTAGCCTTAAACCTCCCTTAGTAGCTGACTTGGCATGCCCAAGAGAATTTCAGGAGTGTCATCTTGAAACGTGGGCCTTAGTTAAAATATTAGCGTGTTTCAGTGGTGGGCAGGTTTCAGCAGTTTCCAGGCTAAGCTTGATTAGGAAACAAGGCCTAATGATCTACTTCTGAAAGTCAGCCTATGAAAACTCAATGGATTGCAGTAGAATATTGCCCAATATTGTGCTGGAAGGTGAGCTTCCTAGGTTGGAAGACTCAAAATACATAGCAGCTGCCACAATAGACTCACATACCAAGAATTTTTATATAGTGCAGGACTAAGAGACATTTTGTTATGTTGTACACAGTCACCATGACTCAGATCCAACTCGATGGGAACTAACTAATATTAACCCCTAGAGCTGCTTTGGTCCAGAAGGGCTGTGGGCCAGAGCAGGTCAGAGTGTATTTTGAGAACCGCCATGGGATAAGTACAGATACTGAGCGTAGTCAGAAACTTTTAGTAGCTAGCTGGGAAGACACCTGAAAGTTTCCATTTCTGGAGGGAAATGTTCTGGGCTCCTCCCACTTGTGCGTGATTCTGTTCACTGACTTGACCTTAAACAAGAGACTGATGGTGCAAAGCCTCTTCTGTTGTAAAGGTCCAGAGAAATGAGACATTGCCCTTAGCCAATTGTGTCACTTCTGATATGAGACTTGGCAGCAGAGCAAGTTGAGAGATCAGATGCCCTAAAGTCCAGGCTTAAGGAAAGGGAAGGAAACCTCCAGCCTAGTGCAATGATAAGAATTATGATAATAAACATGTTCCCACTTATTAGGAAAGTATGTGTGCTCAGCACTGTCATGCTCTGATGTATTATTTTATTAAACTCCTACCATGCCTCTGATATATATGTAACTATTGTCCCCATTATACATATGAGGAGACTAAGGCGGCTTGCTCAAGGTCACATAGTTTTAAGTGACTGAATCCAAGTCCAACCCAGTTGTATCTTTTCTAAAACCCACAATCTCTGTCATTATATTGTTTTAGAACAGAGCTTTTTTCTCAGTTCTCCACGTAGGCACCAAAGGAAACTGGACAGTGTTGGAGTCTGTGTACTGGACCTTATGTCACAGATTTTCAAATAAGCAGTCCAGCACATGAGAACTGTGAGTTCTTGCCACTCTCTCAAGACAACACTGAAACCCATTTAATACTAGTTGTGGAATTAAAAAGCATAAGAATTACACAGGGAAGAACAATGAACTGCTCCAAAAATACCTTTTAAAAATCCACCAAGGACCATTAAATGCCTTTCAGAAACACTGTCCCTGGGCTCCATGCTTCTTTGCAGAATGAAGGCCGTTAAAAGCCCTTGGTGGAAATTCATAGGCAGGCCACAGATGGGCACATATGCATTTTTTGAGCCTGGACCTTATTCAGGGATCACTGAGGTACAGGAATCATAACAACTCAGCAAGTAAGTTGTCAGGAGGATGATGGAAGAGATTTGTCTTTTGTAATGCAAGTGACCAAAAGCATGGAGTTTGAGGCCAGTGTGTGACTTTGGTCAGGGTTCAAAGAAAAAGCTATTCAACTTCCCAAGCCATAGTTTCCTTGCCATAGAATTAGGGAGAGTGTTCTGGGGCTTACGTAAGATAATGCATCTAAAGTCAACATGGAGAAGTCAATATGTAGAAGGGGCCATGAATATTGGCATCGTTGTTTTTGCTTA